CTAGCCGTAGCATTCATAGCAGGCTCTGTCGTGTCGAAGCAGCTGTAGCGTAGCAGAGAGCAAAGGGACAAGTTGATTGGCATCGCTAAGACCCTCCTCCTGGCTCTGATTGGTTGTTTCTGACTGAGCTGTGTGTTTGTTCAGATGACAGTAGGACAAGGATTTTTTCAAAGATTGTCTGTCTCATGTTATATCACACTACATGGTGACAGTTTTAACAAATATGTAAAAAATAACATGTTATAAAAGTTACATTTTGCAGCTTTGAAACAAAGATTTTGAATTATTCATCTGTCATTTTAACTACTTCCATCAGATGGCAGCATTTCCTCAGGCAGACGTTTTCACTGAACCGGTTCTGTAAGGTTCTGGTCGAAAGAATGTGGGTCATAACTTAAGAGGAGGAGAATCAGTTGTGACACCACCCTGTAACAATAACTTGAGGAGGATGCAAGCCAAATCATCAAAATTGATGCAATGAAGGAACTGTGAATTGCATCTTTAACACTGTTATTGGACAGAATTTAACAAAATGTTCAGAGAACAGATAATGCTCAGCTTCTTTATTTGGTTCAGCTGTATCACTTTCCTGGTTTCAGGTAAGTCCTTAAGATCATTCGGTTCATCATCCCGTTTAGAAAATGATAAAAAAAGAACTTCAAAAATAAACTCAAATTTCTTATATTAACTCTTTATGCCACTGCTAACAATACTGTCCTTTTTCATTCCTCAGGTTCCTCCCTAAGCGACAAAGTCCGACAGAACCCAGCAGAACTCTTCAAATCCTCCACTGACACAACAGCTGAGATCAGCTGTTCACACAGTATTGACAGCTACAACCGAATCCTCTGGTACAAGCAAACTGACAGAGACCTGCAGCTCCTGGGGTTGATGGTAATAGGTGGTGAAACTCTAGAGAAAGGAGTAAAGGCAAAGATTACAGGGAACGCTAACAAAGACAACGTCTGCACATTGACAATTACAGAACTGAACCGGAACAGCAGCGCAGTTTACTTCTGTGCTGCTAGTCTGCACAGTGCTGGATCAATCTGATTCTCAATACAAAAACCTCCTGAGCCAGCAGTCTTCAAAATCTGTATTAGAGTTCATATCGTCTGGCACCTGCATTCTCACCGATGTTGGCATTTTCTCTGATCTAATCTAGGACTGAAGTGGGAGGGGTTTTTATTGCAGTGTAACGACATTAACCTAACTATTTTACTCCTTGAATTGCTGGAAGCCACAGAATTAAATTTTGAGCATTATTGCTCTATGGCAGCATATATCATTTTTAGATTAATTCTTAGTTGTGGTTATAAGGTTCAAGAGTCAAAATATTTAAATACATTTGTAATTATTTAGAAATCCACTGATTGGAGTTCAAAATTTGACTCAGTACTTCACTCTATGCAGATGATACTTCCATTTCTTTAAATTGTCCATAAGCTTAAACATATAAGACAAGCTGTTGTGTTAAACTCTGGGCTTTCTTCTCACAGATTATTACCAAGATGCATCTCAGAAACATAAAACAGCTGGTGTTCTCCAACCCCGTCTGCAGAAATAAAATACAGCCACAGCAGAGTGAGGTCACAACCAAACATACAAAGACAGAGAGCTTTAAAAAACATGTACGTCATTATTTACACTGACTGATGGGCAGAGGGAACAAGAATTGACTGTTCATCTGATAATATAGTATGTTATACTCTCTTTAAGAGTTTCAGTAGATGGCGCTAGAGCCATAAAAGGACTCATCAGCATAATGTTGAAATCCTGCAGTGATCCCTCCCATTGTTCCTTCATTCAAACGCCGCCGCATTCTTCTTCACTGCTGCTGAACAAACAGAAGCTGAAATGAGAGCTGCCTTCTTTAACACGGTTTTTATTATCTGCTTCCTTGTTTCCTTTCGATTGCCAGTAAATAATGGTAAGAGGACCATTATTCTAATACACACATTAGAAAAGGTTCAAAGATGATCCATTTTTAATTATTTTCTGCTTCTCTACAGGAGCCTCTGACTCCAAAGACGTCGACCAAATTCCTCATTCCATTATTAAGAAAATTGGTGAATCTGTGGACAAAGAGATCAGATGTTCACACAGCATACCGAGCTACCAAGTCATTCTGTGGTACAAACAAGACAAGCATAAAGCTCTGAAGCTCCTGGGATATCAGAATAATGACTTTGCTAATCTTGAACAAGATGTGAAAGGGAAAATAAACTTTGAAGGAGATGGGCGCAAACAATCCATCCTCACTGTTTCTAATCTCACAGTAGACGACAGTGCTGTGTATTTCTGTGCTGCCAGTCAACACAGTGCAGCAGAATCCCATGAAGTCAATACAAAAACTCTGCAGAAAGAGAGAGAACACCTGGAGTCAGCCTCCATGTCAGACTCAGACCAATCAAAAAGAAAAGAATCATCATAAGCTGTTTTTCTTTTTCTTTTTTACATTTTCAGCTTGAATTTGTTTATTCTTTCATTTTGATTAAAGGATATTTTCCCCCACTCCTCCATTATTGTGCTAACAGCTTGGCACAATCCTGAAAGTAAATGGAAAAAACCTACAGTCAAAAATTAAACAATACCAATTGTTCATTTATAGTGACGGTGCAGCTTAATATTAGCACTGGCCTGATCAGAAAATATTTCATTTCTGAAGACATAAAATCTAAATAAAGTCCATAAAATGTTGGAACAAGTCTAAATAAGTTGTCCAAAACACAAAAAGTTGCATTTCTTGCAAAAGAAATTCAAAAATGAATTTGTTGGAGTGTCATTAACATGTGTTAAACATTTACTGGTTCAAAAAGTCCTTAATTATATCAAGGATTTAATTATAATTATTCCTCTTGCGAGTATTAGTCTCAGTGCTGTAATATCAAAGAACTGAAGAACAAAAAATAACTTAAAATACCTTTATTTTAAATAAATAATCGAAAATGTGTTAAAATGCTAAATTTTAACACAACCCTGAATGTTATTTTTCATGCCTGCTATTTTGAACATAATTTTAACAATACAGCTCAAACAAAAACAAAAACGAGCAGAAATATCTCAACTATTGACTTGAAGGAGTTAAACTCCCAATTTCAGATCTTTAACCATATTGCCTACAGTGCCATGTTTGCACCTGTGAGAAACAAATATGCACAGTAATAAAATATTTCTGAACTGAATTGAATTTAACTGATTTTGATTTAATTGGATTTAGCACAAAACTCTTCTTAAATACAATCATTTGGTCTTGAACTGGTCGTGATTATGAAAACAAAATAAATGTATTAAAACATTTAGCTGCAGAAACCTAAGCTTATGAACCACTAGAGGGAGACAAATCATAAAAATTGGAAAACTAAAAACTTGTTCACTCCTAGAAATGAAATGGTTATTTTGGTCTGTAGATCAGTCGAAAGTTTCCATTCGTAACACCAACACTGTAGATGGAGATGACAACTCGTCCACAGCAATGAAAAGCAACACCCTCGTCTCATCATGTTGAACACCATCTTCCTGGTCTGTGTTTTGTTTCAGCTCCAGCTGCCAGTTAATGATGGTAAGGATTCAGAAACGACCAGACAACAAATAATTATTGTTTAAAACATTAATTTTCATGCTGGTTGTTCTGTTTTTCCCCACAGGAGCTCCTAGTGCTTACGAGGTCCTCCAAACGCCTTGTTTCGCCGCTCCGAAACCCGGAGAATCCGTCATGATCCACTGTTCGCACAGCGTATCCATTTTTGAGCGAATCCTTTGGTACAAACAAGAAAAACACGGAGCTCTGAGGTTCCTGGGATACATGAACAGGAACTTCCCTAACCCAGAGGGTGACGTGAAGGACAAGATGGACTTTGGAGGAGACGGCAGTAAACATGCGACCCTGAACATTTCGACTGTTTCGGAAAATGACAGCGCGGTTTATTTCTGCGCTGCCAGTCGACACAGTACAGCAGAAACCCTGTCAGTCAATACAAAAACTCTGCATGAAGATAGAGATCTGAACACCTGCAGTCAGCCTCCATGTATGACTCACATTATGACTGACTGGGTTCGGTTCACCACTGACCAATCAGATCACTGGAAACTCACAGCCACCTTTAAGATTCCATTTAAACAATCTGAGTAACATGAAGTAATAATAAAACTTAAAAAAGCCAGTCAGAAAATTCTCTTCTACTAGATATACTCCTTAAACCTGTATCTGTACACTTGTCTCCTGTTATTATAAGCATTTTTTAAAATTATTATTTTAGCATAAAAAAACAGTTAATTTTTAACATGTGTCTTTTAACTTTACCTATATCTATGGATAGTACCAGTGTTGGCCTGCAGGGGGAGCAAGATGAGCCATCTGTGCTTCAACTTGCCAGTATTCTCCTATTTACTTTTACTATGGACGTCACTATCAAACAAAAATTCATCATATTAATTTCCTCCTGGTAACTTTTAATTTTTATGAATTAAAAAAGATCAAACTAGTCATCAATCAAAGGTGCTGACTATTTCCAGATGCCCTGGTACAGACAACTGCCTGGAGAAACCATGAAACTAGTAGTTTTGTTATTTATATTTAGGACCCATAGGGGGCAGTATGTCTTCATCCAGAATGTTACACTGAACCAGGTCTGTGAAGTTAAGAGGAGGAGGATCTACTTTAACTCCACCCTGTAATGATGATTTGAACAAGGATGCAACCAAGACATTACACTTCCTGATGCAACAAAGAAAAACTGACTTCTATAAGTGCCATAGTTCTCTAAGTCTGAATTTTTAATTTTCTAAATGTTTAAAGGACAGGAAATGCTCATCGTTTTTATTTGCTTTAGCTGCAGCACTTTCCTGATTTCAGGTTGTGTGTTTAAGCTCTTCAGTTGTTGTGACTGAGTCTAAACAAATCAAACTTTTTCAGTTTTCATTTTAGAAACGTGATATTTATGGCACTGTTTTTCTCCCACAGGATCTTCGCAAAGCAGCAAAGTCAACCAGCATCCAGCGGATATTTACAAATATCCTAATGAAAGTAAAGCCGAAATTCATTGTTCACATGATGACAGTACCTTCACCAGAATCCTCTGGTACAAGCAATCAGCCAGCAAAGGTCTGCAGTTCCTGGGTTACCTGTACGGAGGCTCGGGATCTCCGGAGAAAGACGTGAATGTGACAATAAACGGGAAAGCAACTAAAGGAGAAACCTGCACATTAACAGTAAAAGGACTTGACCAGAACAGCAGCGCGGTTTATTTCTGCGCTGCTAGTCTCACAGTGTTTCATATCTTAGCTTCTCAATACAAAAACGTCCTGATATTGCAGCTGCGTTTGCTTTAACATTGCTTTCCAGCTCACATCCCCTCGCACCTGCTTTCTCACCACCGTTGGTGTTTTCTCTGATTTAATCAGGGATGTGAGGTTCTCACTGCAGAGCAATGGGCTTTAACCTTCCAACTCACTACTTTTTTAAAAACAGTAACAAACTTTCAACTGATTGTAAAATATTACAATGATGTGATAGCAGGGGTGTGCTGTGGTGCCGCAGGGGTTAAGCACAACCCACATATGGAGGCCTTAGTCGCTGTCGCAGGTTCGATTCCCAGCCTTAGCGACCTTTGCTGCATGTCTTTCCCCTTCAGGCCACTAGAGCCAAAAAAATCTTTAAAAAAAGTTATGATAGCTTACATATTTCTCACATTTACAGTTTCGTCCACGGTCTATAATGTACAAAAACTTCTTTTGTGGGTTTACAGCAATCAGACACTTCTTATAATATCCAAGAGCTGTTTGCATGTTTGCACTGGTATTTTGATGATTAATCTGATGATAAATCTTCAGGCTGGAAGACATCACTGATCTTCACATTACATTAATTCTTTACATAGCGTGCCATTCTGAAATGTTAGCATTATTTTCCTGTCAGGAGAAAGAAACATGTTGATAAAATTCAAAGATTACATTAAATCTCCTGTTGCCTTGCAGCAAGAAGGTTCTGGGTTCGATTCCCAGCCCGGGGTATTTCTGCATGGAGTTTGCATGTTCTCCCTGTGCATGGTGGGTTTTCTCCGGGTACTCCGGTTTCCTCCCACAGTCCAAAAACATGACTATCAGGTTAATTGGCCTCTCCAAGTTGCCCCTAGGTGTGCATGGTTGTTTGTCCTCTGTGTTGCCCTTTGACAGACTGGTGACCTGTCCAGGGTGACCCCACCTCTCGCCCGAATGTTAGCTGGAGATAGGCACCAGCACCCCTCTTGACCCCAATAGGGACAAGGGTGTTAGAAAATGGATGGATGGATGGATGGATGGATGGATGGATGGATGGATGGATGGATGGATGGATGGATGGATGGACATTACATCTCAATCATCCTGGAGTCTGACTCATTTTCAGCTGAGCTGGGAATGGTGGGTGACATACTTTCTCATCCTAGATTTCTGATGAAAAATTGAACAAGGGAGACATTTCTAATAATAATAATTTTCAAAAACTCACAAGGAACAAAATTGTAATTTAAAGGTCAAACCAAATTGTTAATTTCATCCAAACATGTTATAGAAGAGTTTATAGAAAACATCTGATCTTTTTATGCATCTTCTCAGTAAAATCAATGTTAAACCACAGCTCAGGACATGTTGTTTTATTTCTTACCACGAGGTGGCAGTATCTTCACAGTATACGGTGGTAATCCACAAGCAGAACAATGTATTAAGGCCCCACCCGCTCCAAGAAGAATAGACATTACAGAAATATGATGTGAATAATCAGTAGGGGTTCAAAGTTGGCAACAGTAGCAGGACATCCTTAAAGTTAGCCATGAAACACCACATGATTATCACAGGCTTTTGTTTGACATTTATGATCACAAGACTTTCAGGTAACAGGGGGAAAAAATCTAGATTTAACTCTCTGTTATTTGACAACTATTGAAGTTAAAGTCATGCTTTTGCTGCTTCCTCTACAGGTGCTTCACTCAGTGACGAAGTCCATCAGACTCCATCTGACTTGTACAAAAAACAGGAGCAAACAGCAGAAATCGATTGCTTGCACAATATCAACAACTACGATCGGATCCTGTGGTACAAACAGACAGCGGACAGGCGGATGGAGTTTCTAGGATACATGTTAGCAACCATCGGCTACCCGGAGGAAGGAGCGAAAGTAAAGATCGAGGGGAATGCCAACAAGGGCCAGACCTGCACGCTGACGATAGACAGGCTCGACATGAACAGCAGTGCAGTTTACTTCTGCGCTGCCAGTTACCACAGTGCAACATGCAAAAAGTCCTCAGCACAAAAACCTCTAGCTTTTGTTTACCCGTCTCTCAGGTCCATGCACCTGTCTGATATCAACCTGTTTATCGAGGTTTGGATCTTTCTGTTGAGGCACTGAGGTACATGAGGGAGGTGAACACATGCTGCGGTTTGAATTTTTGGTAGAGGAGGAACCTCGTAGACACCACCCACGTGTTGAGAGAGGAAGAAATAGCTCGAAGGGACATTTGGAGACTTTTATAGTCATAAAGGAACAAAATGATCGCGGTTCTTTTTTGTATTACTTTGAGCGCAGCAGCGTCAGGTAAATAAACAATTTTCAAAACCAAAAAATATTCATAAACCCTGAATTGTTTCTACTTTGATTGAATACGTTGAGTCCTCTCCTTCAGGTTCACTTCATGAGAAAGTCCACCAGAATCCGCCTGACATTCACAAGAGTCCCGGAGAATCTGCCAAAATCAGCTGCTCGCACAAAATCGACAACTACGATGAAATTCGTTGGTACAAGCAAACATCCAACGGCGGACAGCTGGAGTTCCTCGGACGGGTGGAGAACAGCTTCAAGTACCCGGAGACAGACGTGAATGTGACTTTGGAGGGAAGTGCAGATAAAGGCCAGACCTGCACCATAACAATCGAAGGACTCACCTCCAGGAGCAACGCGGTTTACTTCTGCGCTGCTCGCTACCACAGTGCTGAAAGTTATTATTCCTCAACACAAAAACCTCAGCGTTTCCGCTTTGTATTATTTATATCCAGCCATTAGGTGGCGGCATTTCTCCAGATCCAGTGTGGTGACATTGTGGGAAGTAACTTACGAAGAGGAGGCTGACCTGTGACATCACATGCCTGATGAGGGTATATAATGTGTTTGGTATTGTAGGAGTGAATCCTTACAGATGTGATGTAAGGGGAAACAGTGAATTATATCAGTAGCATTGCAGTTTTTTATTAACCAAATGTTTTGGGATCAAGAAATGCTCCTCATCCTTTTTATTTGCTTTAGTTGGAAACCGTTGCTGGTTTCAGGTGATGTCTTTAGGATATTTCAACTATTAGCTTGGTTGTGTTTATGATGATATTAATGATACAATGTTGGTCTTTTGTGCTCATAGGTTCCACTCTAAGTGACAAAGTCCAACAATCTCCACCAGATATCTACAAATCTTCAGAAAAGGAAGCTAAAATTGAGTGTTTGCACAATATCGACAACTACAACCGAATCCTCTGGTACAAGCAGACGGGCAGAGACATGCAGCTTCTGGGGTACAGGTTCGCAGGCTCTTCGACTCTAGAGGAAGGAGCAAAAGTAGAAATTGGAGGGGGAGCAAACAAAGGGGAAACCTGCACATTGACGATTAAAGAACACAGCGAGAGCAGCAGTGGAGTTTACTTATGTGCTGCTAGTCTCCACAGTGCCGCAAAACTCTGATCCTCAGTACAAAAACCTCCTGATCTCTAAAAGCTTTTTTTCCCCCCCAAAATCTGTCGTACATTTCACACACCCCGCTTTGCACCTGTGTTTTCACCAGTACTGGTTTCTCCTCTGATTTAATCAGGAACTGGGTAGCACCCTTCCTTCTTAAATAGCAGCATGTTCAGACATGAGGATGAACATGGAAGAATATCATCCTGTGATGAGATGAATATTTCTCTTATTTACAGTCAGGATGCTGTCACGGCCAGTGGCCTTTTCTGTGTTTATTTTTCTTTTGCAGTGGCTAATCAGACTGACTTCACCTGGAAGCGGGTGTTGCCCTGTTGTCCTGTGCCACACCCTGAGGCCTACCGTGATTGGGTCATCAATTGCCGGCTCCACCAATCATTGTTGAGGCCTCCCTTTAAAAACCAATGACTTCCTGGGAGAAGGTGTGGCTAGTTTCTTTGTTGAGACAGCTTGTCACTTTGTTGGGTGTGTGGGTTTGCTGTTAACTGTTTGTATGAGGTTTTCTGTAAATTGTGACAGGATTGATCCTGTGGGGTTTTGGTAACGCTCCACCACACTTGTAGCTTATTTTGTTTGTTAGTTTTATTTTGTTTGTTTAATCTGGACGTAAAGTCCCCTGTGACTAAGTTTTGTCTCACAGCTCTGATGGTTTGTGGATTTTGTTTATTTAGTACATATTGGCTGTAAGTTTTTACTCTTTTGATTATTACTTTTTTTCTCTTTTCCTTCTTTTTTTTGTTGGAAACACAAACAATAAATCTCTAAATTGTCAAACCTTAACATCTAGGGTTATTTAATGTTACTTCCTTTTCCCCTGGCTGAGCCGGGTCGTAACAATGCTGCAAATTCAAAGTATGAGAAAAGCTATATTTTAGCATACTAAGGGGGATTAGCATTTAAATGTTGAGTGTTTCACTGTATGCAGATGACATTATCACATTTTCTTTGTCAATTGCATATGCCTAAAGGTAGAAGGTGAAGCGACATCAGAAATAAAGGTCAAAACCAAAAGTACTGGCACAAGGCGTACAGGAAAAGAACCTGAACTTTACTGTGTTCACAGCTGTTGGTCAACAATCAGACAAGAGAGAAACTTCAGACCAAACATTCAGCAATCAAGATAACAATGCGTGAGATCTAACAGCTAAATAAAAAACTCAATGACAGCTCAGCTGTTGAAAGCTTGTAAGTAATCTTAAATAAAGCTTTGATTTGAAACTATAAGATTATTATGAAATGACAAGGTTGGTAAAAATAGAGAAAGAAAAAACTGCCAATTTCTTACCAAGATGTCCTTTCACTTTTCTAAAACACCACAAGCTATCCTACAAATATCTAACAAAAATTTCAGATGTATGAGGTTCAGATTTACTTGTTAAGGAGATGAGAAACAAATACTAAAAAGTATATGAAGAAGGAACTGGACTGATTGTTTGTTTTTGTAGAAACTTACAAAATAAATACATTTTTGACTCAGTGGTTACACCATGTTGCTAATTTATTCCAGCAGGTTACAAAGACATTTGTGGAAAAAGACAGACTGACTCAACTCTCAAAGGATAGTTTAGAATTGAATTAAATTATTTGAATTCAATTTCATGAGGTGGCAGAATCTAACATGAATAGTGATAACTTACAAAAAGCACATAGAATTGAAGCCCCACCCACTCAAAGTATTGTGATTAATGGCACAGAAATGTGTAAAGAATCATGTGTAGTTTAAATTTAGCCATTAAACAACACATGGCAATCATAGGCTTTTGTTTGTTTCAATTTGCTTTACAGTTCATTTCTGCTTTCACCTGCATTCACACCATTATTTGTTCCCTCCTCTGATTTAATCAGGGATCAGAATGGGAGGTACTTACTGCAGACTGGCTTTAACCCTCCCATCATAACTGCAGGCTTAAACATGAGGATGGTCATTAAACACCACCATGTCGGGTTGCATCCTTCTCACATTTATATATGTATTGTTTTGGCAACAAGGTACAAAAGACCAGCACCAAAAGATATTTCTAATGACTGATGACACTCAAATTTCAGAGTGAATTTAACTCTACGCAGATTATATTGTATTTCATCCAAAATGTACAATTTGTGTCGTACTTCTTCTTTCTTTTCATAGGTCATTGCCAGGATGTGACTCAGCTACCTAAAATCATCTGGACGTTCGAGGCCGAGTCCGCAGAGATGAACTGCAGCCACACCAGAGACAAAGGTCATAACCAGATGTACTGGTACCGACAGCGTCCTGGGGAGACCATGGCCCTCGTCGTGTACACGGTATACGGTGGGCAGCCAGACTACGAAGGAAACTCCAAGACCAAATACTCAGCAGTCAAAGACGCCATAGAGACCGGAGCTCTGACCGTGAAGGACCTGCAGCCTGATGACAGCGGTGTGTATTTCTGTGCTGTCAGCAAACACAGTGATGTGAGGAAATACAACAGCTGAACAAAAACCGACTGCCAATAAAACAGAGTTAATCAGAAACCTAAGCCTGCACTGCTGTGACTCTCCAGTAGATGGCACTGGAGATCCATAAAGGTTTTTCAGGTTTAACAGTAATGGTATGGCAACATTGGGCGTCTTCATAAAAGAGACCAGAACCTGTTAGACACATTTTTCTGCTCAGAGAGACAGAGAGTAGATCATCATGCTGACATTTTCCCTTTTGTTTTCGCTCATGGGTAATCAACTTCTTTATTTTTCATTTTTCATGAACCATAATTTATATTTCCCATACACTTAAGTCATAAGAGAGAGGGTTATATATATACATATATATATATATATATATATATATATATATATATATATATATATATATATATATATATATATA